AAAAAAAAAAAAATCCCATGTCTCAGAAGTTCCCAGTACTGATGATATAGTAGGCACAAATGCCTCCCTCAATTGGTCCATGGTTAATGGTAAGGACAGGGCCAAGGTGACTCTTCTCATTGGTTTCAGTTGTCAGTGATAGGTAACTTAGAGGGACTTAATCATAATAAACATTGTAGAGGCTGGCAGGGGGTTCAGACAGCAAGTTGAGCTGCACTTGGTTTGAGGGGGGTCACTTGAACAGAATGTGGGTAAAGAAGCAAATTTAGGAGAAAAGATGAGGGATGGTATGTTCAGTTTTGCCCATGGCGTTATGGGGACCTGGGGCCCATAGCTGAAAAGGAGGCCTTGAGCACTGGAGAGAGGCCAGGTAGGCAGTAGGATCACAGAAGACATTTGGAGAAGGTGATGGTGGAAGTGTTTTTGCATCAGAGATCCACATTGTAATGAAGGTTTTAAAAACCAACCCATAAGACATATCTATTGGGTTGTCAGAAAAGTCATGATGCATTTTTGCAATGAGAAACAGAGAAAAAATACGTTATGACTTTTCTGACAACCCAATAGATCTGAGAATTGGTTTTGAGAATTCCTCCAAAATTATGTATAATTTCATTTCATTGTTTCCCATAGGAACTGAGAACAGAAGCAATTGCCAGACCTTTGGAGATAAATGAGACTGAAAAAGTGATGAGGATTGCAATAAAAGATATTTTGGTAAGACTTTGGTTTTGTTTAATGTTTTTGTGCCTAGGCCTCAAAAATATTGATTTCTTGCCTCCATAAGACAGAAAAAGCTAGGCCTAGTAAGAAAGAAGGCATATGTTAGTGGGGAGGTGAAAAATTTAGAGAACATTTAAAAATACCTAGGTCACTCACTACTATTATAGTTTCCCCTTGTTAGAAATGTGAACAATTTCTNAGAGGGCGCAGCATTACTGGCCCTCATGTGGGATCCGAACCGGGGCCCTGCTGCTCAGAGCTGGCGTCCCAAGCCAACTCCTAACCAACGCACCACTTGGCTGGCCCTGGGGACTTGTTGTTAAGGAGAGAGGGGGCGTGAACAGAGCAGGGAAATGTTTGTTTGGGCTCTTTAAAAATTTAGCATAATCAAGGAAGAGGGGTGACATGCAAATCCTGAAAGAGGCTTGTGCACAGGGCCAGATGCTAAATCATCATCATCGTCTTATTCTTCATAGCAATGGCTGCCACCCTTGTGGGAGCCAGGTGCTGTTGCATGTTAACTCATTGGAGCCTCACAGCAGCGCTGTGAAGTATAGTCTAAAGGCAGAGAATGAGGGGGCAGGAGGGTTAAACAGAGCATCAGGATGCTGCCCTAGGAAATGTGTCCCTCAGGTTGCCCCACCACTCTCGGGGTTGCCTGTTGTGACCTAGTTCAAATAGGAAGCCTGTCAACTTTCACCCTCCTACACCTCCTGGTTGAAGATTACATTTGACTTGACTTTTGGGTTTTCAGAGTGACCCAGGTATCCTGGAATTTTTCTACTTTTTACTTAGATCAGTGTTTCCTAAACTGGCACCCTGGGAGCTCTCTTCCACAGGTTGTAAATATGTGTCTTATGAAAAATGTGTTCTGTATTCAAATATCCTGGCTGGAAGTAGGAATTGATATTAACAGACTGGTTTTTCTGCATGTCTATTACAAACCTGTCACTGAGGTTCCTGTTTTTGATATTTTCCTTCCAGATTGCAGATTTGAAAGCAGCCAGGCAGCTTGCTTCTGAAATCACCTCCAAAGGAGCATCTCTGTATGACTTGCTGGGCAAGGAGGTAGAGTTGAGGGTAAGCAGTGCTCATATAACTGAATTACTTCCTCAGCCACATGATTTTCAAGGTTTTCTTTTTCAATTCTCTTTATCCTGTTCTGATTTTATTAAACTGTACTTGATTAAATGAGATAATGTGTGGGAAAGTAATATATAGTGTTAGCTGTTATTCCTGCTGCTAGTGGGCACCAGTTTGTTTTTAATACCTTTGCCTTCTAGTTCAGGAATGGCAAATATGGGGCATGTTGTTGAAACTTTCCTCCTTGTGCCCATGGCAGACTTTATTCATCTTTTCCCCTGTGAATACAGCCTCAGAATTCTTCTCAACAAAATTCTCTTCTGAGTCATGGTTCCCAAACCTTGCTGCCTGGTGGAATCATCTGGGGATCTTTAAAAACTACTGACGCCTGGCTTCCATTCTGATGCCATTGGTATGAAATGTGACTTGGGCATTGGGACGTTTGAAAGTCTCCTGTGTGATTCGAATGCTCAGCAAAGTTTGGGAACCAGCAATCTAGGCTGTCAATACCAATCAATCGAAGTTAGTGTTAACAGTTGAAATTTATTTACAATCCCGTTCTAGCTAATATCATTCAAGGAATATGCTTCATCCACTATGTTAAAGGAGCTTTTTAAGAGTGTGGTTCTGGAGGACTCCCAGAGAGCTCCTGTAAGGCTTTTAAATTACCTGATGTCTGGGCCGGCCAAGTGGCATGTTGGTTAGGAGCTGGCTTAGGACACCAGCTCTGAGCACCAGGCCCCGGTTCGGATCCCACATGAGAGCCAGTGACACTGCCCTCTACAGCTAAGATGGTGAACAGCAGCTTGACCTGGAGCTGCGCTGCTGTGGGTCGCCGGTGCCGGCGTGGGCTGCCGTGTGTGGCCAGCAGTCAGCGTGAGTGGCGGCAGCCAGTGTGAGCTGCCGAGAGCTGCCATGAGTGGCTGTCTAGAGGCCGGCGACTGATCTGCCTCACCTGGGAAGAGCGCAGTGATCACGGTGCCAACATGGGCCAGTGGGGCGACGTCCTCCACAACTAGATTGAAGAGCAAAGGGACAGCAACTTGTCTGTTCCCCTTCCCCTGATTCTCCAGCGCTGTTCCCCTCCCCCAATTCCCCTATTTAAAAAACAAAAAAATCACCTGATGTCCAAGTTGTCCCCCATACTAGTGGAACAAAATGTCTGGGGGTGAGAGCCAGGCATCCAGTTTTTAAATACCTCTAAGTGATTCCAGCGTGCAGTAGAGTTGGGGACCCAATGGCTTAAGGAGAAATGAGTATTATTTAATTCTTACCTATCAGGATTTGTGGCATTTGAAGCATACATGCTCTCATCTAATGTTTTTCAGTGAAGCACAATTTAATCCATTCCATATGTTAGGTATGCCAGCCATGATCACTCTCTCACTGCATTTCCTGTGTTCTGGCATTGCTATTACAGTACAATGTTATTGTTCTTCCTGCTTTTCATTTCTGCCCTAGGAACGGACTGGAAGTGCCAGGTCACCTTGAGTGCCAGGTCACCATCCCTGCTCTTGATATATTGACCTAGTGGTTGCTACATGCTGAAGTGTAGTTGGCAGAACAAAACTGCCACTAACGTCTAATAGGCAATTTTGATAACTAATGAGGCAACTCCAGGCTTTCCGTGTTTTCTGTTTATAGTGCAGTAGTGCATATGTCTATCTATACCTGTTCCTAACAGACCTGAAGACAAGAGCTGATTATTTGCTATTTGCCAGTGGAGTGGTAGCTTCATTGTGAGACTTCACCAGGATTCCACTTGGGACCCTTTTGGCACCGTCCTATAATGAATTGATGAAACAATCAGTGGCTGAACTGTTGCCATAAAAGTCATGAGACCCTGAATATAGTACTTTTCAAATTCTGTGTACAGTCATGATCAGAGGAAGATCTCCTATCCAGTATTTGTTTTTCATACACTCAACAAACATTCATTGAGAAGCAACACCAACCATAGGCGAGGCACTGAGCTCTATGTCCTTGAGTAAGTCATAATCCCTTCCCTTGATAGTTTTCTCCCAGTGGGGAGATAAGGCACACAGTGGAGTAAAGGAAACACAAGACAGTGTTTGATAAAGTGATCGAGGAACCTCATAATTGCATTCATGTTAAAATCCCATGTCTCAGGGCCGGCCAAGTGGCACGTTGGTTAAGAGCTGGCTTGGAATGCCAGAGAGCCCGGTTCGGATCCCACATATGAGGGCTAGTGACACTGCCCTCCACAGCTAAGATGCTGAACAACAGCTCAACCTGGAGCTGGACTGCCGTGAGTCACCAGTGACGGCGTGGGCTGCAGCAGGTTGCCATGGGCTACCGTGTGTGGCCAGCAGCCGCCGTGAGCAGCCGTCCAGAAGCCAGCGACTGATCTGCCTCACCCAGGAAGGGCGCAATGATGGTGCCAACTTGGGCCAGTGAAGCAACGTCCTCCACAACTAGACTGAAGAACAAAAGGACAGCAACTTGTCTGTTCCCCNGGCTACTGGACGGCCGCTCACGGTGGCTCTTGGCAGCTCACGCCAGCTGCCGGCTGCTCACGCTGGCTGCTGGCCACTCACGGTAGCTTACTGCAGCCCACTGCAGCCCTGCTGCCGCCTACGCTGTCACCGGCAACTCACAGCAGCCCAGCTCCAGGTCGAGCTGTTCAGCATCTTAGCTGTAGAGGGCGCAGCGTCACTGGCCCTCATGTGGTATCCAAACCGGGCCCTGCTGCTCAGAGCTGGCGTCCCAAGCCAACTCCTAACCAACGCTCCACTCTGCCGGCCCTTGAAATCTTTCTGAATCTTATCCAGGGACTCAGAGCTGCCTGTTACAGATCCACTGGTCTCTTAGTTGCCCTCTTTCTCTTTCATGGACTTTCTACTTAATTAACTGGTGTCTTCTCTCTGTCTGTCTGTCTCTCTCTGATAGGTATGAGCCTCAGACTGACATCCCTTCTGATGTTGAGACGGAACAAGACCGAGTTTTCTTCATTAAGGCAGTTGCCCAGTTCATGGTTAGTTTGTAGTTATTTGATGGAGTTGTAAAATTAAATACATTAGAAAGAGATGAGTCCTAGTTAGGGCTACTTTCAAGTTTCTAAACCTATTCCATTATCAGATTTCTAGAGCCATTTCACCAGAAAAGTTTTTTTTATTTGTTTTTAATTCGTTATTAAGAATTTTATTTGTTCTTGAATAAGTAATACGTTTTATGGTTGAGAAATGTTTTTTTAGATCGTGAAACGATGTAGAGTAGAATGACTTCTTATTCTGTTTGCCATCAGCCCAGTTCCATTCCCAGTAATCACTGTTTTTAATATCTTCCAGAGGTTCGTTATGCATATACAGAGGGTGCCAAAAAATGTATACACATTGTAAGAAAGGAAAACTGTATTAAAATTGTAATGCTCAATATATACTGATAACAAAAGATGAATACAAGTCACGTTTGACTTCTGCAATTATAAGTGGTTACTACCATCAGCGTCCAGACACTTCTGATTATGACGAACTACTGCTTGAGCAACTTTGACCAACGTGTCTACTTGTATACATTTTTTTGGCACTCCTGGTATAAGCAAATAGAATATAGATTCTTTTTCCTTTTTATACAAATGGTGGCATACTACACACCACTGTTTAGAACCTTGCTTTTTTTCACTTAACTTTACCTCCCAAATACACATAGAATTTCCTTATTCTCTCTTAACACCTGAGTAGTATTGCTTGCCTGGCTATACCACAATTTATGTAGTTTATACAAACAGACATTTATGTTGTTTGTAACCTTTGTTTTTTGAGGCACCACTCTAACAAATAACCTATATGTATCTCATTTCTATCTCATTTGGTTTGTGAGTATAGTCCTAGGATAACTTCTCAGGGTTGGAATTGCGGGGTCAGATGATATGTGCATTTGTAATTTTGTTG